CCTGATGGGTTATTGGCCTTGATCTTTAAGAGGGAGTTACAAGATGACTTAAAGGTACAAATATGAAGTCTGCTTTCTTTGATTCAGGCAAACTTTGATACGTAATAAGATAACTACGCTCTGCAGCAATGAAATCCAAGGTATCTGAGTTTCTAAAAAAGTACCTCCTTAGGGAAGATCTTTTACGTAACAGTATTTATAGATATGGCATTTACGCATCATGTATTGCCTATTAGGGTAAAAAATCTGTAGAAATTGTAGCTTGAGGCTAGTCTATTGTTATTTTTAAACTTCAGTATTAATTAAACATAGGTAAGTGTTGCCAGAAGTTAAGATTCCTTANAAAGTTATAAATGGACTGACTTCAGACTTCTATAACTTCCTTAATTCTTTTAACAAGTTTTACATGGACTTTAAAGTACAAGAGTCCAGAAATGAAATGAAATGAAAGAAAATGAATTCCATGAAAGATTAGTCAAGTGAAATATAATGGAAGATATTACTAGGGTAAAAAATTGGAAATTTGGGGTTTCTTTTTCACCCAAAGAATGTTTTTATTTTACCACTTTACATCAGACTTAAAAGTTCTTCTAAGTTTAGAATATTAAGGACCCTCTTATGCCATGAATAGCTTGAATATGTCTGACATAAGATCTGCTACTTGTAATTGAATTAACACAAAGCAATATAACATCATTTAATTTAAAGATCTAAATGTAGCCCAATGGTTCACGTCACTAGATTTCTATACAACATAATAGAATTTAACACAAACAATTGATGTATTGTATACTTTTCTAATCATTATTAGCCTTGCAGGAAGATTGTATATCTTTTGTGAAGGAAAAACAGTGTTGTACAAATTTCCTTAATTATTTTAGAGATTTATCAAGCAATAAAATTTCACGTAAAATACCTTAGGTATCACTATAAAAATACACATATAAACATTTACAATGAAAACATGTTGGTAAAGCTTGCATAATTCACAACCCTTGCTTGAATTTTGCTCAAATTTCCTGTCATAGTAGATTATTATATGTAATATTGTAGATTATGATGGGTGATATTGTAGATTATGATGGGTGATATTGTAGATTATGATGGGTGATATTGTAGATTATGATGGGTGATATTGTAAATTATGATGGGTAATATTGTAAATTGTGATGGGTAATATTGTAGATATTGTATATTATGATGGGCAATATTGTAGATTATGATAGGTAATATTGTAAATTGTGATGAGTGATATTGTAGAATTATGATAGGTAATATTGTAGATAAGGATGGGTAATATTGTAGATTATGATGGGTGATATTGTAGATTATGATGGGTGATATTGTAGAATTATGATGGGTAATATTGTAGATTTATGATGGGTAATATTGTAGATTATGATGGATAATATTGTAAATTATGATGGGTAATATTGTAGAATTATGATGGGTAATATTGTATATTATGATGGGTGATATTGTAGATTATGATGGGTAATATTGTAGATTATGATGGGTGATATTGTAGATAAGGATGGGTAATATTGTAGATTATGATGGGTAATATTGTAAATTGTGATGGGTAATATTGTAAATTGTGATGGGTGATATTGTAAATTGTGATGGGTGATATTGTAGAATTATGATGGGTGATATTGTAAATTGTGATGGGTAATATTGTAGATTATGATGGGTAATATTGTAGATTATGATGGGTGATATTGTAGATTATGATGGGTGATATTGTAGAATTATGATGGGTAATATTGTAGAATTATGATGGGTAATATTGTATATTATAATGGGTGATATTGTAGATTATGATGGGTAATATTGTAGATTATGATGGGTGATATTGTAGATAAGGATGGGTAATATTGTAGATTATGATGGGTAATATTGTAAATTGTGATGGGTAATATTGTAAATTGTGATGGGTGATATTGTAGAATTATGATGGGTAATATTATATATGATGGGTGATATTGTAGATAAGGATGGGTAATATTGTAGAATTATGATGGGTAATATTGTAGATAAGGATGGGTAATATTGTAGATTATGATGGGTAATATTGTAAATTGTGATGGGTAATATTGTAAATTGTGATGGGTGATATTGTAGAATTATGATGGGTGATATTGTAAATTGTGATGGGTAATATTGTAGATTATGATGGGTGATATTGTAGATAAGGATGGGTAATATTGTAGATTATGATGGGTAATATTGTAAATTGTGATGGGTAATATTGTAAATTGTGATGGGTGATGTTGTAGAATTATGATGGGTAATATTGTAGATTATGATGGGTAATATTGTAGATTATGATGGGTAATATTGTAAATTGTGATGGGTTATATTGTAAATTATGATGGACAATATTGTAACTAAGATGGGTTATATTGTAGATAAGGACGGGTAATATTGTAGATTATGATGGATGATATTGTAGATTATGATAGATAATATTGTAGATTATGATGGATAATATTGTAGATTATGATGGATAATATTGTAAATTATGATAGGTAATATTGTAGATTATGATGGGTGATATTGTAAATTATGATGGGTAATATTGTAAATTATGATGGATAATATTGTAGATTATGATGGGTAATATTGTAGATTATGATGGATAATATTGTAAATTATGATAGGTAATATTGTAGATTATGATGGGTGATATTGTAAATTATGATGGGTCATATTGTAAATTATGATGGGTAATATTGTAGATTATGATGGGTGATATTGTAGATTATGATGGATAATATTGTAGATTATGATGGGTAATATTGTAGATTATGATGGATAATATTGTAAATTATGATAGGTAATATTGCACTTATTCACCTCATGCTGCCAATACAGTACGACTAGTTAGTGAAATGGGTTCTTTGTAATTCCTAACTATTTTACTTAAATATATACTAAGTGGGGATGGAATTGATTTTTGACCTTTGACCTTGTATTTACTATTATTTTTTATTTCAGGTATGAAAAGAATTATGATGTAGACTCTATTATGAAAACTGATGATGATTGCTATGTTGACATAGAACAAATCTTTGAAAAATTGCAGGAATTCAAAAACCAAAATAAGACATGGTGGGGCAAGTATGTAATAGTTTTTAACATTCATCAGATAAACACTTATCAAAAAGTCTTGTAGTTTTATGGTTATTCTTGTTGATTCTTCTTTCCTGCTGATTGAGTTGTCTTTCCTTCATAATATGTTTTAATTTTTAAGACCAAGTTAAGTCTCATTTTGCAAACTAGCTGCCTTGATGAAGATTTTATGATAAAAACATGTGTCAGTAGCATGAGATGAGCTCTTGTCCATTAATGTATTAAGCATGCTCTTGCTGGGGCAATTCTAGTGCTTAATATCATGTGACATTATTTTCATGAGGAAAGACCATGTCCTGAATTCCAATTTATTCTGGTTTATTTTATGACAGTTGTTTTTTTTAAGAAGTTAAGAGATTATCAATGTCTTTCATGGATCATATTCAGTACTTTATTGAAGAAATCACACATACTTGAGTGGAACAAATTTGGCAAATTGTGATTTTCACTCCATGTTTCTGTACATTAATTTTCTCCGATTTCTCGCAACATTGGAACTAATTGATGTGTATGAATAGATAGGGGTCGATTTGTCTATTGTAATGGTCAGATCAATCTTGTTTTACATTGATTAAATGTCCAGTAATAAGAAGGCAATGTGCTTTACAATGATTTAATTGATAGAAATAGGCCTTTATTCTCTCTCATCTCAACTACCTAACTTAATAAATTCTTGTACTTAATTTACAATCTTCACATTTCTTCTCCTAAAACCCAATCTATCTTAATAGCTAGGTATTAATTAGTAGGTCTTTTCATGGGTTTTTCATGTTCCAACAAATTGGACATATTGTGATAAAAGAGACTGGTAGGTTGTTTTCATCAATATTAATGATAAGACTTATACCAAAACAATCTAATAGTTGATACAAATCTTTAATCACTTTGACGATTTTTGTTCCTCATTACCACATTTTCTGTCATTGAAAGGCGTGCTATTTCAGTGTTTCGCAACATATTGCAATGTTCGGTGCCTGTTAACACATTGTGCACATATTGACAACTAGCACTTCTTGTTTACGCATAGGTTAAGTATTGTTTGTGTATTGTTATGTACTAAATATTTATGCATGCCAAATCATTGAAAATAATAATATTCTTTGTACGACATGACAGCCCCTACACCTTTTTACTCACTACTCATCCTCATCGACGACGATGTTACAAAAAGGTACCATTATGTCAGTTTAGACTGTCATCACTTGTAGTCTGTGTTTAACATGCAGAACTATCTGCTGTCACCAAATATCTATGTCATTCTGGTTTTTTTTATTGTAGGTTGAAAGATTTTTTTGCTCAACCTTTTTAAGTTTGTTATGCTTTTTGGTAGGTGTTAGAAAAATTACTGCAGGGATTTAAGTAAAATAAATGACTAATTGTAGAGAAATAAGTTTCCAACTTATTCTGAAGGTCTGAGCCATTAAAAAAGTCAAACACCAAAACTAGGCCAAACTGCTTAATGAACGATTAGCACAATCTGTTTTTAATTAACCCATTTAAAACAAATTCAGTTTTATCAAGTAGATACATAGATGTAAATAGCATACTTTAAAAATATTTTCAGGTATAATTTACGACGTTTTTGATAATGAAAATCTTGCTTACTGCCCCCATTAGAGAATTATATATTCAACTATGAAGGGAAACTCAATGCTCCCTTTGCATGTTGTCATCCATTTTTAAGTGCTTCTTTTTTTACATTTATAAATAATGAAATTATACTTTGGACCTATTGCCCATGACTGACAATAATACAGACTCGTGGTTAGAAATATGATCTGGTTCTTCATATAATCACATGAATTTAATGTGTCTGTGAGGGTTTTTTCTAGTGTGACTTAGTGAATAAAATCATTGATTAGAACCTAACACTCTCCAGTCCAATTTAGCTAGAACAATAGGGAATTTCAAGTTCAATAATCAAAGTAAATCTTGGTCGTTTTCAAAACAATCATTAGCTAACTAGATTTGAACGGAAATGTTAGACGGAGATTTAATAGTTTATCTTTAACAGATCCTAGACTTACATCAAACACCAGTATTAAGAAATTACATTGGAGTCCTTAGAAGCGTAACATTAATATAAAAAAAATCATCCTGATGAGACATGATTGATTTTTGATGATATTTTTTTATAGTATCTGATATAATGTGTGCTACATCTTGTGTTATGAAAGTAGAATTGATTTTTGATAACATGATGATTGCTAATTTACTTAATTTAATACTAGTAGTTCAGATTTATTTTAGTTTTTTAATCTTAAAGAACTAATTACAATTCATTTGAATGTCTGCGTACACCTCATCTTTAATATTAATATGCTTGATAGTTTATAGTATAAAAGAGACATGGTTTATAGATATTGCAAAACACTTTTGGCCTTATCAAATAAACATATCCATTATGTGAAATGATCTTATTGGGGTACATGTATACTTACATATATATATTTATTATTGTGGTAGGATCAAGAAAAGAAATCCTCTTTTATAATAGGGAAAACAGTGCTTTTATTTCAATCCCAATTAAACTAAATGCTACTGATAAACATCACTAAATGATTTTCGCCATTGTGTGTATTGTGATATTTTATCCTCTTGGAGCAACAGGTTTTTGATGATCTTCTGCTTTGAAAATATTGTGGACAGACCATTCGTCTGGTCATGATATGTGCAACTATGAAATCAAGGAAAAAAAGCTTTTACTAAGGACAGGTTTTGTCAACTAGTGTATTGTGTTGACTGAAAAATAAAATAATCATAGCTAAAAGTTAATGATCAGTAAAACATGAGTTGAGCACATGACAAAAACTATGTGAAAAGCATTTTACTCATATTAGTCCTAAAATTACAGAAACAGATGCTGAGTTGATACATCCAGTTTTAGAGTTGGATTGTAAAAAATTACTTAATGTGTTATAGTTGTATAATAATTTAATATTATTACAACAGTGCTACTTACAATAACAGTACCTTAGAAACATTTTATTACATTTGAGAAAAGTTGCTATTATCTAAACATGTCTCAATCTGTTTGTACATGCTTAAGGTTTATTCAAAAACAATATGGGATATCATGGTCAGGTTCCATCATATGATGAACAATGTTTAACCCTGGTCAGAAAGACATTATATTATGTGTAAACATTGTTAGAATGTGATGATCAGGTTTATGTGAACTGTCTAGACAATTGCTTATCCTCATAGTTGATCTGATATGATCTCTTTAGGAGAGCTTGATGACCAGTCAACATGAAGTCTGTTATGAAAATTGTTGCAATTTATTTTGATTACATTACCAAACAAACAGGCTATATGTCAACTACATGTCCATCTTGTGCAATATTTGGTGAGAGTAACTTTAACCATCTTAGTCTGTCTGTATAATTACTGACAGAATATACCATGAAATCAGATCTGTCTGGTTGTCTGATATTTCCTGTACAGACGTCATAGCTTTATATTTAGAAGGAAACAGTTAACTCCCAATATTACTACATATATACAAATTGTTACTTGACAATTTGTATGTTAGTACAAATTACAGCTTTCAAAAATATTGAGGTTAAAGGTATCTTTCACTTTATCTTTGTATAAAACACGTATATGATTTTGAAATCCAGTATTAAAAGAGACTTTCTGAGATACTCATGGAAAAACAAGAACCCAAAAAACAGCCAGATCAGCAAAAATGAAGTTGAGCTAGGAATTTTCTTCATTCTCTTGACTTTCTTGTGCTTCAGACAATCCTAAACGTCTGTAGCTCCCACTGCATGATACACTTTCTTATTAGAAATATCTACAGAACACATATACAAGAATCTTACTCAGTCAACACTGAAAACCTTTCAGTTCTTCAAGCCTTTCTACAAATATTTACATTTTGTCTGTGACATAAATCTGACTACATAGACGTACAAAAGTATGGACAATGCACTACGTGATAAAGGTTCAGTGTTTGTTTTTTTAATATAAAATCCAGGAAGATAGAACCTTTAAAAAGAGGTTAAAGCTCAATATTTGGAGAGGGATGTTTAAAATATTCACTGAAAAGTTGACAATAAAGGTAGTCATTATGTGGATTATAATAAGTATTTAAATATACATTTCTCTTTAATTTAGTTTTCGAAGTGAATGGATGGTTGAAAGACATGGTAAATGGAAAGAAAGAGATTATACAGCTTCAGTTTATCCTAAATTTGCCTGTGGATCTGGTAATGTCATATCATCAGATATTCATAAATGGTTGGTGAAAAACAACAATGATTTAAACCTTTTTCAGGTAATAACATAGATAGTGTACAGAAATATTAAAACAGAACCTATAAAAACATGATGTTGTTACTCAGAGTTTCACGCTATGCAATCTTTAGTGTCTCTACTGAAGTCAGACAAGGAGAAGTAATCTCATGTCTAGACTGCGAGATGAGCTCTGAAACTCTGAGTAACAAAATGTTTTAGGATCTGTTTTAATATTTCTATACCGCTCTACAATTGAAGCATTGAACACTATTTAAACAGTGAAGATATTTTTTTTAATTTTTGCACGTTCAATTAATAAACCAAGTACTACAATCCAATACACAAAACAAAACCCGAAATCAGTGGTAAATTTCTAATTTCCTCATTGCACAGTGCTTTTTGTTGACATTAGGTTAAACTCCATTTCATTTCATTTCTAAACTTGATGTATAAGATTTAATGAAAATCAAACAGAGACATGGTTAGGGTAAATATATGATGTGGAAACTTGATTGAAAATTTGTAGATTTAACAAATTGAGTTGTGTTATGTTGCAGTTTCTTTTGAACAGTAAAATGCTATCTTTACATGAGTCCTGATTTCATTTTGTTCTGATATTCTGATGTTCTCTATTAATAAAAATCAAACAAATATTTTTCCAATTAAGTTACAACAAATTTTGTAATAGCAAAGCAATATTAATGATGAAGCCTAGACCAATTTCTTACCAGAAGATAAATATCATTTGAAAAGTTCATGTGCTGCTTTGCTGTATTGCCAAATTGTTATTTTGGTTTTCAGGTTTTGTGTTGCGGAAATCATTAGTACTGTTTTTTTTATTATCAAAGTGCAAAAATATTGTTTTATATATTACATAGGGTGAAGATGTTTCTATGGGAATATGGTTGTCAAGTTTAGTAGTCAAATATGTACAGGTAAGCTATTGTATATCATTTTCAATGAAAAATAAAATTCAAGAGATGCAGAGGTATAAAACTGTATAAAACTGATTTTTTTTAGCTAATAGAAATCAATTTCACTATCTCAATATAACTTTCTAGAATGAAAATCCGTGACCATAATCTTGTTTGTCAGTCATGTCAGAATCCAGTAGGGCAGAATTGACAACAGTGAAAATATCCAGACTGTTTTCAACATGCCCATGTGAATTTATTACCAAATTTAATCACTTTTGACTGCTATAATAACATGTTCTTAAAGAAGACATGGTTTAAAAACAACCCAATTCTGTTACACTCAGTAATGACTGCATGTGAAAATGTTTAGAACAGCTTGAATATTTGAACTGTCATCATCTCTGTTCTTCCAATTTTCTTCAATTACACACAAACAAGACTGGATTTTCTTTCTAAATAGTTTTTTGGTTAGTTTAATTTAAAGGGATATTCCGCCTTTTTGTAGGTCGGAAACTTTTGTGCTCAAATTTGTGAAAACTTTAAACCACAAGTGGTTGCCCAGCAAGATACACCCATTTCCCTGATAAATTTTCAGTATATCAAAGGCAGTGTCAAATCATACCAAAAATCTAATTTGTACAAGATATTGTTGATTTAATCAAACACACAAAATTTCATTAAATCAGTTGAAAACTGTAGTCTCTATTGTGTTCACAAACAAATTTTGACGCATTTTCTTTGTCAAGGGCAATAACTCAAAAACAGTGTATCGAAAAATCTTCAATTTCGAATTTGACCAAGACTTCACAAATATAAATGATCACACAAAATTTCATTAAAATCAGTTGAAAACTGTAGTCTCTATTGTGTTCACAAACAAATTTTGACGCGTTTTCTTTGTCAAGGGCAATAATTCAAAAACGGTGTATCGAAAAATCTTCAATTCCGAACTTGACCAAGATCTCACAAATATAAATGATCACAGAAAATTTTATTAAAATCAAATAAAAACTGTAGTATCTTTTGTGTTCACAAGCCAATTGTGGACCGACAGACAGATGGACAGGGGCAATGACAATATATGACCACATTAAAATTTATAGAAATGTATCCAATAACATATCTGAAAGTTAATATTTTATTGCCAAAACTTTATGGACATAACCTGTTAAAGATGGGTTCTCTTATTTTAATTTATGAAAATGAACTTGCTTATACTTGTATGAATAAAAAGAATAGGTGTTCTAATGACTTGGAAAAATACCAGTTTGTCTAACATGTCCATAATTAATTCATAATTAGCTAAATTAGAGGAGAAAAGGTCAAAAAGTCTTTTTTTGTTATCCAGACTGTACTTGCATGGTCATTTGTGATTGGGTCAAACTCTTAATGATATGCAATAAGATGATGATGATGATACGATTAAGAATACATGATAATTCATCAGAAACACCAATTGATATGATAAAATAGTTTGCTTAATTTGACATTAAAAAAATAAGAAAACCCATCTTCAAAGTTCGTTATTCCTTTTGCAAGCTATTAAAAAACTACTATACAGATTTGAGTAAAAAACGACTAAATATCTCCGAAACTAGGTCAAATTGCATAATAAACAATTAGTACTCTCAGTGTTTAATTAACCCTTAAAACATAAATTCAGTTTGACCTAGAAGATACATAAATATAAATAGCATAGAAATATTTTCAGGTATAGTTTACAACGTTTCTGATTATGAAAATGTTTTACAAAAAAAGCGGAATGCCCCTTTAATATAAGACCAATGATGACTATTTGCATAGAGTTCAATACTGAAAGTGGTCAAATACTTGAAATGATTGGTTCTGTGAACAGGGAAGAACTAATGGATGGATAATGTAATATCAGATTCATTGTGATAGTTTATGTAATATTGCCTCTCCCCATCACCCCCTAAATATACTTTCGTCCAATATCACAGTTGATAATATTCTCCTGTATCAATATTCAGCAAGATTCAAAAAGATGCAGTACTATCTTTAAAGTTCTTCTATTGTGGTTCCAAACATACACTAAGGTCTTCAGTTATTGAAGGGAATCATATTTTTATCAAAAATTCAAATGCTTCTTATAATGCTTCTTATAATGCTTTTAAATATTAGATTTCATGATGCACTGCACACAGGTTACCAGTTATAACAATTAAAGGGAGATAATAATATTTAAGGATACTGACAACAAATATATTACATTTATTTTTCAGAATGATTCTCTGATGTGCAATAAGACTTGTATGATAGAATCACCACCACTAGTTGTACCTGAGATAGATATTATGGAATTAAAAGCATTCTGGAAAAATAAATTAAAGTGTAATAATCCATGTCTATGCAAATGACCATCAATAAAACATATATTTTACATAACTATCTGTCTTGTTGTGGGTTATCAATGTATGAAATAGGGAAACTGATAACGACAATTTGCACCATTACAATTGCAATTAGACATCTGTGATTTCTTCTATTCCACTTAAACTAAGTGTTTGATGACATCATTTTTAGCAAAATATGCTATCATTGATACACATAAAAACAATTGAAAAACTCTTTTAAAGCTTAGCCTAGTATAGTGATTTACAGGGTGGGTGACTAATGATATCTGTTTTGGTTTTTTATTGTTTAACATAATAGTATTCTAGACTTTAAAATACATGATCACATTGCCAAGAGAGTAGCATTGGCCAGCTCTTTATCGGGTTCCAATTATTGAGGTATCTTTTAAGTGCCTGCAGCCCACAGAGGTTCAAGCTAATTGCCCTCAACCATTCCCCCCACTAACTAGTAAATGAATTATTCATATAAAACCCAATTGTTTCAATAATATGTTTTAAATCGTTTTATTGGTCGATTCAATTAGTGCAATCAAAGCAATAAAATCAGTATTAGGTGTAAAAACCCAAGAATTTAGAAATAATTAAAGGTATACTACCTCTAAGGATGACCAAAAATAGCATCTTTTTTCATCAGTTGACTTATCTGGTGTCAAAACTATGCAAAAGAATCCCTCTACAATCCAATAAAACCATAAAGACAAGTAGTAGAATTTTTTCTCAATTATTACTTAGTTGAATAGATATATTATCTATTCTGTAGTCATGGTACCTGGTAAGTCCAACTGATGAATACATACACTTATTGACAGTTTTATGTCCATTCTAAGAGGTAGTTTACCTTTAACAACCCATGAATTTAAGAATGCACCTTAAAACAAATTGGTGCCAGGAAAGATCAATGATTTCACAGTAACTAGATATGAAACAAGATAAAACAAAAAGTCTTTTATGATCCAATGCAAAACAAATCGTGAAAAATAAAGTCAAATGTGATATTAATTATTATATAACAAAAATCACAAGGAAATAAAGAGTAATAAATCAAATAAGATTTTTATTAAGTATTCACATTGAATATAAACGTAAAAGTAATTATAACATATCTAAAAAAGTATGACATATTATGCACATCTGGGCCTAGTAAGTAAATTAATACAACTCAAATAAATAAGTTTAATGAATATATGAATAAACCTATAAAATCATCAATATTACATCATCAGGTTAATATAACAAAATCAATTTATTTGGAGACTAATTAGTGTTAATAAATAATTCAAATTCATAAAAAATCACATGTATTGTTCAGATTTTTTTTATTACAAAAATTTAATCCGAACTAAAGCCTCTATTGCGTTAACAAGCAGAAGCAATACCCATTAAACCAATAATAAAAACTTCTGGAACATCAAACTTGAATAGGAATATAGCTGATGTTTAATATCTAAGAGGGGCTGATCCTTTTTAATCAAAATGATTTTTGTAAACCTATAGTGGACCAAAAGTATTTTCGCATGGAACTGGTTTCTGAAATCTCTAGAAAAAATCTGGATTTTAAGAAATACAACAATCTGATTGGATAATAAAGTTAAAATAGATTTCAGTGATTAACCAACCAGATGAACACTAAAGAAATCATCGTAAGTTAAGTTTTTGAGAATAAGGTCCCAGGTTTGGTAAGGACATGATGAGAATAGTATTCTTACCAAATATACATTAAAGATTATAAAAGAAGGGCATTTGATTCATCAAATACAAACCATTTTTCCCTTGAATACATGTAACCAGTTTGAGTTCCAAATATTTCTGTTTCTTGTTCCATTCAATATTTCTTAAAATAATTTTGTAGTTGCAAAATAAATTTTCATAAAAAAAAAAAACAATAAGTAAATTACTTTGGAACTTTAATATGGATATTACTTATCCATTGAAACTTATCAAAATGCATTAAACTCATAATTAATGTGCATTTCAATTTGCATTCCACGTTTCAACAAAATCTTTCAATTGCATTCACAAGCCAATTACTTCTAGTCCAGGCCAATAACAATTTTGTTAACAGACAACCCAACAAGGGTAAGACAACAATATACATATATTTTTAAATACAAAATTCTATTATGGTGTATAACAACTATGAGAGTAATCTAACAAACCTATTTCATCACATAGCAATAATAAAAAATTATCAAAATAAATCTGATTTAAAGCATATACAGTGTGAACTAGATATGACTTGTCAGACAATGTAACATAATTATGCCCACTGGCAGTTTTGTTTAAATTAGATCAAAGAACAGTAAATATCACTTACATTGAATACTATATGTTTAATCATGCATTTCTCCCGAACTTTGACTTTGACTTTAATGTTCAGAGACTTAAACATAGGTTAAATATTATTTGTCTTTGTTGCTTAACATGAGGTTCACTGATGGGTTTCAATTATGATCTGTCATTGCCTTCTACAGTGTTTACAAACTGCAACTGGAATGTTTCATAGGGCCAAAAGCAATATAAAATATTTGACCATTCTTTTGAATTTTCATCATTGAGCTAAAAATTGAGGTGTTTTAAAAATTAAGAGATCATAATCAATAATTTCAACGATTCTATTCTCAAAGATTAGGGAGGAATGAATAGACTGATGAACATACCAAATGAAGTAGGTGGGTTACGACACAAAACATCTATCTTAAAATCAATAAACTTTATTAAAAAATCAATACATTTACACTAGATTTTAATTACATACAAGCAAATACTAATGTCAGACAAAAAATAAATTATTTATGAAATGAACTTAAAATTCTGATATTTACAGACGTAGGAAGGATAACTGCATTTTTCAGACATTCTCAAGTTCATTATTACCATGCTTTGCTTTTATCAAATCTTTTGGTAAGTTAACAACTGGATTCCTTGCATATAAAACAATGGCACAAGTCACTACAAAAATGGAGGCAAAAGTATACAAGTCTATTGGATATCCAAACAGTATCCAAGACAAAATCGCTGTAAAAATAAGTTCCATTGCACTAGCAAAATTTTTTAATATGGAATTCAGTGATTTTAAGAAAAAACTGACACAGATGCCTATACATGTTGTATTTAAAACAATAGCTATGACTACAGGATTTAAAAAAATTGGTTTCATCTGATCCCATAGAAAAACAAAACTAAGCCTAAGGTCTCCATGATACAACAACACAACACTATTACTAATAATGGAGTCTAAGTACATAAAAAAATTCTGCATCATAAAATGAGCTTCACAACCTTTTAACAGGTATTCATTGTAAACTCCAGCAATGACAGAGGCAAACACCTGAACTAATATTAAAACAAAATGAATATTAAACATTCCAAATGAGGATTCATTAGGATGAGGAGTGACAGAAACACTTTTTATTTCACTTTGGTGGACCTCTTTTAATATACACCCAAATGTCAATAATATTAATGAACACCATTGAAGTTGACTCAACTTTTTACTGAATAAAATCTGAAAAAAAAAAGAAATTTAGTGACAACTGAAAAGAGAAATTAATACATTACCCATTTAACAGTAGAATAATGAAGTTAATTGTATAAGCAACATGCATTATATCATCAATATTCCAACCTTTGAGCATAATAATAAACAGTCCATAGTTCATAATATTATTTGCATGGCATTAAGTCAGGTAAACCTTTACCAATTCTTCATGAATAAGAAAAAAACACTCACTCTGAACATGTTTAGCCACATTAATTGAAAAACATGGCCAGAAATCACGGTTCAATTTAGCTTTAAATATTTCATTAGCAAATATTATCACTCTAAATTTCAGTATTGGCTGATTTAGCTTTAAAAATTTTGATTCGCATTTCATTAAGTTGGATACCAATCTAAAATTTTCCAATAGTAAGCCTTCTTATGTACAATTTGATTTGATTCAAAGATATTTTGTGATAAGTTTTAATTTTGCCTAATCAAAGAAAATATTGGTTAGCAAAAGAGATCATTTTGAATCACAAACTGCAATGTGATACAGCTTAAATTGAACCCTGCCAGAAATAGTTATATTTCATAGTGTCATAATCAAGACGTATTCGTCAATTATTTGCATATCCATAAAAAAGGGTCCTTATGGTAAAAAACGATAAATGAAATGTATTTTGGCCTTTTTTAACAAGGAAAAATCTTTTCATCTACCGATGATTTGTGTTTAGTGTTGCTTATTCGACAGAACACAATATATTTGGAATTGTTATAATGTTATGCTATAAATGGGAAAAACTAACAATTTTGTAGGTCCAAAGCATAAAAATACTATCTACCTGAAAAACTACACCTGTTAATACAACTCGAAATTGTAAAAGCAGAAAATATGTTGTAGGATCATATGCTTGAAGGTTAACATAAGATAGATTATTATAGAGGCAGTACAGACCAGCTGGCACGAAATACAATAATATAGCTGAAAAATATAATACACAAACACTAATAATTATATTGATTTATAACTTCAATGAACAGCTGAATTTATAAACCTACATTAATTTTCAGACTAAAATAAAATCATGTTATACAGAATACATCAAACAGAGTATTTGATAATGCTGTTAAGCTTCATATTTATTTATAATCTGATCAAATATATAAACTTACACAATAACAAAGTACTGATAGTCTACTAAATCTATATCACCTTGTTTATGCTTTACTGGTTTTAGTAAATCAATAAAGTACAACACTATGCTTCAAATCATTTCATCATGCATGATAAATTACACAATACCTACACATGTCAATAGAAATTGTTCTAACCTTGTTTATGCTTTACTATATCTCTTCCAAATGTAGCTATATCATTACTGAAAAAAAATAAACAATGTAAATCAAGCAATCAGATACAAGTTGCTTATGGGCCTACTTGCAATTGCTACAATCACTAAGTCAGCATCACCTTATATTTAAATCAATGAGCTTCTAGTTTAATATCTTTAATATGTAGTCTTTATTGCATAAGATATCTTGCAGTAGGCCAATAGCAACTGTAATGCCAATTTGCAAATCATAGCATTAAGCATATATTGATCCTATAATCTTTTTTATAAAAAAATTACCCTTTTAATACTGTTTTTTGATTAAAAAATTTTTTCAAAAAATTAATAAGTTTATACTTAGAGTATTTATTCTGCCTACACATATATCAAAAATAATGTAAATTTTTTACAATATATATATACATGTGGTGATAATCTATTTTGATTTTAAAAAAGGTTACTTACTCTTTGAGATAAAGAATTACTGACGATATTAATTTCAAACATTCTGTAACTAATATCACAATAGTAGGATTATAATTATATCTATTAGTCACAGACTTGGATGCAGTTACTAACAATCCTACAAAAAATTAAACATACCTCTGGATAATATACTTAAAAAAAATATGTTTAGGCCTATTTGTGGCACTTTCAGCTCGTATTCAAGGCTTTACTGGGATATAGATTTATCTTACTTACTCTGATTCTGTCTATTGGCAGCTTTTTAAGTTGTATGCACGCTCAAGTCATAAGCTTAGACAGAAATCATCAGCATTCATGTGTCCTGTCCTATTGGTAAATTTTTGTAAGATTTCTTGAAATTAAGAGAAAATTTGAAAACTTTGAGTTTGGGATGTTAAATCTGTGTAGGCCTGGCAAGGTATATCTTTACATGATACACAGGTATTGTGAAGTGACACGTTGTTTTGTGTATCCTGTAAAAGTCATCCAATTATATGAAAATTCGATAGCTTATTGATATTGCCACACAGTCACAGCCTACACAGTCACAGAATTACATCACCAAAATAGTAAGCCTAGTATAACAAACATAATCATGTATTAGAAATTATAACATACCCTGATTCACAAATAACATAATGTATGCAATAAATATAAAAAAGCTCATCTTTGTCGGGAAAAGATCAGCCGACATCCAACCCATTTTCGATGCTTTTTTTTTGCAACTTAAGTGTCAAAGTTTCTAAATCACAAAGTTTGTAGGTAAGTAAAACTAAAGTCATCGAAGAAACAACAGGATCATTTTCACTACTTCCGACTGTAGTCGAGTGCTTCCAGTCACTCATTTTAAATAGCCAATTCTTTTCCGCTCTTTTCTCGCTTTTGGTAGCATAGAGTTATAAATATAATATATAATGTCAACGACCATACCACGTTGAAAGCACCAGTTCTCGTCCGATCACTGAATTTAAGCAGCGCCGAGCTCGGTTAGTACTTGGATGGGGGACCTTCTGGGAACACCGAGTGCTGTAGACGCCTTTTTGAAGACATTTTCTCCGGTTTTACGAGAAAGACCCGCTTGAAAAATTCCCATAATGTCTGCGGCCATACCACTTTGAAAGCACCAGTTCTCATCCGATCACTGAAGATAAGCAACGTCGGGCTCGGTTAGTGCTTGGATGGGTGACCGCCTGGGAACACCGAGTGCTGTAGACGCCTTTTTGAAGACATTTTCAACTGTTTTGCAAGAAAGACCCACTTGAAAAATTCCCAAATAATGTTTACGGTCATACCACGTTGAAAGCACCAGTTCTCGTCCGATCACTGAAGTTAAGCAACGTCGGGCTCGGTTAGTACTTGCATGGGTGATCGCCTGGGAGCAAAGAGTGCTGTAGACGCCTTTTTGAAGACATTTTCCCCTGTGTTGAGAGAAAGACCCCCTTGAAATATTCCCATAAAATGTTTACGGCCATACGACGTTGAAAGCACCAGTTCTCGTCCGATCACTGAAGTTAAGCAATGTTGGGCTCGGTTAGTACTTGGATGGGTGATCACCTAGGAACAACGAGTGCTGTAGACGACTTTTTGAAGACATTTCCCCTGTTTTGCGAGAAAGACCCACTTGAAAAATTCACAAATAATATCTACGGCTATACCGCGTTGAAAGCACCAGTTCTCGTCCGATCACTGACGTTAAGCAACGTCGGGCCATACCACGTTGAAAGCACCAGTTCTCGTTCGATCACTGAAGTTAAGCAACGTCGGACTCGGTTAGTACTTGGATGGGTGACCGCCTGGGAACACCGAGTGCTGTAGATGCCTTTCTGAAGACATTTTCCCCTGTTTTGCGAGAAAGACCTGCTTGAGAAGTTCCCATTTAATGTCTACGGCCATACCACGTTGAAAGCACCAGTTCTCGTCCGATCAATGAAGTTAAGCGACGTCGGGCTCGGTTAATAATTGGATGGGTGACCGCCTTGGAACACCGAGTGCTGTAGACGCCTTTTTGAAATGAGAAAACATATCTCAAAGTTCATTGTAGTCAGAGGGTTTTCTCCGAATTCTTGTTGTATTATTATGGCTTGTATTTGGATGAGACAATCTTTTCCAGGACGTTTCATTTATCTCTGTATTAATTATAATCGCATCTCACCTTCCGATAGTGGTCTCCCCTCCCCTCTATCATATACATCTCTTGCAGACCTCATGGGGAAGAGATGGAAAATAGCCTACAGATTAAAAATTAAAATTGTTTATTCAAAATAAGCAAAGCATAATAGAAAGGAAGAGTTTCAAGCTCGCCGAATCATAATAGATCTACCGCGTGTTAGTGGATTATTCGTTCATAACTTTGGTAGATACATTCCAGAAGTTACAACTAAATCTTTTGTCGATTTTAACTCATCTAAGTTTTTACAACCTACAAATACAGAAAATAATGATTATATGTTGGTAATTTAGAGGTTATCAAACGAATGCAATGCGAAATTAAGACAATCATAGCAGTTACAAACAATGTAGACACTCACCTTAAATAAAGATTTTGATCATCAGAAAGATCATTTAATACCAAGATTCACACCAAAATCTAAATCGATAGTTTTACAGACAAGGTAACATACTAATGATAGCAGTTTTTTTTTTACGCCCACTTGGAATCGTGAACGTATATTGCCGTCGCCCCTGTCAATCCGTCCGTCGGTCCGTCCACATTTCTTGTAGACACGATAGTGGCTACAGTTTTTATACGATCTTAATAAAACTTGGTATACACGTATATATTGATGATATCCCGATCAAATTCGAATTTGTCAAATTTGGCTTGTAGGCACGATAGACGTTGCTACATACGGTCTTCATTCGAACTTGATGAAATTTGGCATGCATGTATATATTGATTGAGTTTAAAACTAGATGCAAAATGTGTCCGAGATCTTGTTCCACGTGAACCTAGGGGTAACAATATGGCGCAACAACAAGATTCAAATCACCATCCTGTAGATCACTACTAACAAACGGTACTTCAGAAATAAACTATTTAATGAATTTGGGTTAAAACTTTAATACTCATAACTAAACACTTCTTACCACACATAGAAATTATATATTTGTAGAGAAGCGATAAAAACATTATCAAGTATACGGATATTTACATGCAAATGGCAGCTTTGGTCAATGTAAGTCAAAGCACCCCTACGACTAAAAAGCAGCAAATTTCAGCGCCCCGTTGGTCAATCAAAATTATAGCCTCTGTTGCGTTTAAAACAAAAACTTACAGACATAAATATGCGACTAATAACCAAAGCAAACCTATATATAATTCCTTATTCATCTATTTTTTACCTGAGAGCATCATGCCTATTTTCAGTTCCTGGTTTAAAATTCTCAGTACTTTTTCTGCACCAGTTTTTCCCTAAAAAAAATTATCATTAAAACTTATATGAAAATGACAGCTGACAGAAAAGAAATCATCAAGTCGCCAGAATCGATGGTCATTATTTAAGTGTTTCTGTAAAAAGTATTAGTTAAGTTAAAATATATAAAGGTTACAAACTTACATCACATACTAATCCCCATAATATGGGCCTTCCAACAAATACTGCAGTAACACCCATAGCTAAGGCTTTCATTACATCCAAGCCACTTCTGATTCCCCCATCTAGATAAACTTCACATCTACCATTAACAACTTTTATTATCTCCGAAACAACATCAATCTGAAACGAATGGCCTAAGGTTCGAAATCATGGTAACATTTAGAATGAACACTTACGGGTCAGCAGGATAAAAACACTAATTATACAATATGAAATTTTGCCCATTTTATTCCTTAAAGATGGGTTTCATTATTTTTAGTGTCAAATTGAGCAAATTCTTTGAATAATTGATGTTTGTAATGAATTATCATGTATTCTCAATCATATCATTATGTTCTTATTGCATATAATTAAGAGTTTTAACCAATCATAAATTTATAATGTACAGTTTGAATAAACAAAGAAAGACTTTTTGACTTTTCTTGATCGGTCACTCAATGGAATTTTTCTGGTAATTCTCTTCTAATTTAGTCAATTATGAAGTAATTGTGGACATGTGTGACAGACTGGCATTTTTCCAAGTCATTAGAACACCTCTACTTTCTATTCATATAAATATTAGCCTTTTCATTTTCGTAAATGAAAATAAGGGAACCCCATATTTAATAAGGCAGTTTGCAAATTTTTCATTATCAATTACATCGTAAATAATACATGAAAATATTATTTTCTAAAATAGAATTACATCTATGTCTGTCCTTGATCAAACTGAATTTGTTTAAATTAAGGGTTAATTAAAAACAGGGTGAACTAGTATTGTTAAATAAGCAGTTTGGCCCAATTCTGGCACTTAGAAAAAAAAACAAAACTAACCGTGGCTGGAACTGTGTCCAAGTTTCTTCCGCCATGATTAGATACCCAAATACCGTCAACGCCAGATTGCAATGCTTCAATGGCATCCTCCTCTGTAAGTACATACAATTAAGATTTCAAACAATTCAATACTTTACAATGGTCATAACAGCATAAAATAGAGCGTGGTGAAATTAGGTCACCGAAAATTTGCTTACCAGAATAATGGATAGCATAAATCGGTCACATTAATTTGATGGCTTAGAAATTGGTTTTGAAAATAGCCTTTAAAACCGAGACTTCCTAAACGTGCTGTCCCTTTTGCATATGAATTTTACGCTGTCGGCTTCGCGAACAACATTTCTGTTACATACTTACTGTTTAATACACCTTTCGTGATTATTGGTAATTTTGTTACAGTTTTCAGCCAAGCGATATCCTTCCATGTTTGTGAACTGTCGAATGTATCGCTTACAAAATTTTTAAAGGATTCCAATCGACTCGAAGCCTCCCTATATGTTGGCATGCTGAAAGAGACAGATCACAATAGAGACAATGTTCATGAGCAATGTTCAAGCAACTGGTGCTTATTCACATTTCTTTTCTCATTTCGCTAGAACGGAATCGTAATATACCGAGAAAAAATGTTGTCTCAATTTCCCGTAAGCGTCAACTTCGCAGCATGTCAGAAAGGGTATCGAAAGTTTTCGAATAGAAAAGTTATAAAAGTATGTTTTAAAAAAAGGTTAATGGACATTTTAATGCTAATGTATACTAACTCTAAATGGGGCTGCAGAGCATCCTTGTTTTTGATTTCAGAAGGCCTATAGCCAAGAACCACACAGTCTATTGTAATAACTAAACCTTTAAATCCCTTTCTTTCTGCCTCTGATATCAACTCTAACAATAAACCTCGGTCCTTCAGAATAAAGATCTGAAAGAAATGTAATCCATCTGGGACTGCAGTTCGTATTTCATCCATACTTGTGGTCGCCATGCTGGCTAATGAAAAACAACAGTTGACTGAATCTGCAGCTAAAAACAAAGATTTACAAAAATGTTTTAAGATCTTTTAATCAATTATAGGACCAGGGAAATGAGCCAACTTTACAATGGTTAATGGAAATCAATGGTTAATCGATGCTGCAATCGTTATCCTACGGAAACAAATGTCCCAAAAGAGTTTCCGTATTATAAAAAAAAATGAGAATATAAATTTGAGTGTTTGTGTTTCTTTCAAAAAAACTCATTTACACATATTTGATAACTCAATTATGTCTAGTAAGGGATTTATTTACCTTTAGCTAGGCCAATTTCTCCATCAGGGTGAGCTAACTTGCATTGTGCCATAGATGATATTCCTAATGGAGAAGCTACTCGATGTCCTTGTATCGTAGTACTAAAGTCAAAATTGGAAACATCCCTCATATATCGAGGTCTTAGACGATATCTGCAATTTTAAAGAAGTTGTTGTTTAAAAAATCAATTCCGATAATCTTTTCTCATACCATTAAATAACGGACACAATTTTTATGGTATACTACTCCATGGTTTTGAAAACTAAAGAGTAGTATACCATAAAATTGTCTCCGTTATTTAATGTGATCTCTACCCCTACATGTTACTAAAGGATTATTTTCATATACCAGGGAGCTTTATTCATTTCATGTATTTCTTTGAGTATTTTGCTATTAAAGGGTTGTTTGCTTTGAATTTGACACTGAATCTTTTAGCCAGATTTATCCCCAAATGTTTAATTTTGTTATTTACATTAGTTGTAGCAAAAAGAACAAGAGACGTCTCTTCAAGTTCAAGCCAAATATAATGTCCGCAACATTGGGTAATATTTCACAGTTTAAAACAAAATAAAACAATCATTATCAAAAATGGCTTACTAAAACGATTCTTTCAGACCAATTACATTTTATGAAATTAACCACAATTGACAATGGAAATAAAACTAATCATTTGCTAGACGAAAGCAGCAGTCCAAAGCAGTATATTTATTCATATAAGAGTAAAAAAGACAAACCTTTTAAATGCATTGCAATTGTCCTCGTATGTTTGATTATAATTTGCACCAGAATTAAAGTATTCGCGAACTGATTTTGACAGCTTAGCAGCTGCCAACTTTTCGAAATCAGCAACAGTCACCAAAGTCTCAGACATTGTATGCCTTTAAGTCCAAATAGAATGTCCAAAACTGAACAATCCTATTGCTCTAATCAGACTGTCACCGTTAGTAAATATAGTAAGATGTATACCTAATGGTAGAGCCCATACCTCTTTGCATTCAGCTGAGGGTTTTAAAGAGACCATATTGGACACAGCTGGATGTAGACGTGTAAATAGTATTCATATAATTCATTTTTTCTTTATTATTTTTTCTGATTTTCCAAACTAAAGTCAAATTTCAAACTTTTTTAATTAATGATATGATTAATAACAACTGTAGAAATATTTCTTTAAACTTTCCCTTTAAAGTTTTAATTCAAGGACATGTTGATCTGACACTAAGAATTGTGTATATGTATGGAAAGGAAACTGTTAAGAGACTCTATGCCCGTACATTTATTTATGTTCATTTACATATCGTGTACCCTTTTTATATGACACATTTTTCACGGTATCTTAGAAAGCCTTTAAAGAGACATTCCGCTTTTTTTAGAGGGTGATTTAAAATTTAGAGAAATGTGTATCTTAACGCATCTGAAAAGTTTAATTTAAAAAATCCAGCCGTTAATTTTTTAACACCAAACCTATTTAAAAAGTTTACGTAAACTGTCAAAGTTTATAATGTTTTTTTGGAAGCTGTTAGAAAACTACTGTATAGATTTAAGTAAAATAGACTCCACAAGTCAAAGTTTCGGATTCCACAGGTCGGAATTTCGAGGTCTTGAAATCACTCAGATTAACACGTTATTTCATCAGAAAACGTTGTGTTTCATGCTGGAAATACCAATTGCTTCAAACAGTTCCAAATTCTCGAACCCCATTACAAATTCTCAAACCTCGTTACAAATTTCGGAACTGTTCTACGGGACATCTCTTCAAAATTTTAGTTTTACTTTGCCCTAAATGCGCAGGTAATTTTCTAGTGTAGGATACAAAGAGATATCTATGGAACGTTTCCCTGGATTTGAATTGAATTTCAAGGTATGTAAATGGTTTCGCTTCAAAGGTCAGGTGTTATGAATCCTTCAAATCTTATCTTGATACAAACGGCCTCCCATGAAAAGTTACGCTTGTGCTCTGCAACATATCACGGTAATGGATTGCTACCAACTATGCCATTATTGTCACATGATCATGTGATTCTTGTAGACCGAGCATTAGAGGCTGGTCCGGACTGCAATGTTGATTCAAACTGATCATAATATAATGTAGCATGGGATAACCTATAATCACGACATAACATTAAATGCATATAAGTAGATGATAGGGTTATCTCTTACAGGCTCTTAATTTATGGACTATATTTTGGTCGCAATATTAATATCATTTGACATATCACTGCTAAATACCGGTAGTAAAAAGTGACGCCCAAAAAAAGACAACTAAATTCACCATTCACTACCGAGACAGATTCAGCTTTACAGAAACTACCTAGGATTGTCGAATGATCTTGTTGGTCTTAAAAAGACAGTTATAAAAACTTATCTGTACTACATGGGTGGAATTAGATACCTGAAAAAACTAGTATCCATTGTGAAGGTTTAACAGGCCGTAACCGATATAAATTCTTTTCAATATAGAACTTTCTCGTACAGATGTACTATTCGCTCTACCACATGAAGAATGTCCTTGTAGACAGAGAATGGTTGAAAGCAATTAATCGGAAAAAATTTTTTTTTGACTCTAGGGAGCAATGGCAGAGGCATCTGAATATATTTTACCTTGAGGAGGATTTGAACCACCGACACCTAATGGCCTGGCAGACAACAATTTAACTCACTAACACTACTGACTGAAATATTCCACTGCCTGCATAAAAAGACAAGTGTTCCAACTAAGCGCTAGAGGGAATAGCTGGGCTTAGATTTAACATTTTTGTATGTTCCAACAATCAAATTAATCTGATTTAGATAAACTTCTTCTTCTCCTATAGGATAATCTACTCTTGGCTACCTAAAGTAATTATTTTCTTTCTTATTTTCAGGTTTGTTCGATTCATTTTATTGATGGAAGGCCTACAAAACTTAACCCTGACCCTTCAATTCATCTTGGATATGAAAGAGAAGTTGTACGTGTACCCTTGTCCAATGTCGCCCAGAACTATCAAGAGGAAGATGTTGATATCTGTACTGAAGAGATTTATTGTTCAAGTTTTACCATCTTTTAACAGTATTACTACTTCTGTACAAACAGATGGTATTATTTGTCACAGTTCAATTTTTGTTCAAGACTAGTGAAGACCAGTGAAATGTCTACTCAGACGGAAGATTTTATTTTTATGGAACATAGTTATTCTATTTTAAAACCTACATATAAATCTGTTTCCACTCAGCACACAACTGCCGAATTTTCTAGTAGTATTTTGAAAACAGACAGTGACTCCAAATTTTATACTGATCTTACACTCACAGTATTATTGTCCATCATCTCTTCATTATCATCATTTGGGAAGAAATTATCATTTCGCTTACCTGTTTCTGACCAGATTTTTTTAAATTCTTGTTCGTTTAAGATTGGGTGTTGCCTACAAGGATATTGCTCGCAGATTTAATATTTCATACCAGTTGGTCAGTCGAATTCTTTTTTTAGAATGGATCACCATTATGGCAGAGAATATGAGAAATTGAGTTTTATGGCTTCCCAGAGATACTATAAAAAGGATAATGCCTAAATCTTTTTTTGAAACTTATCCAAAAACTGGGTTTCCTTGTTTTTTGTGTCAATTTAAGCAATTTAGTGGTGTATCTAATGAATAATCATGGATACAGGCTGCAATAGGCCAGGTCTTATCGCATAGTTTGAAACTCGTGAACACTTTTTAATATACAAAAGTCAAGTAACCTAATTTCGTGGTAACCTATTTTTCGTGGATTTCCGGAAATGATTAATAATTTAAATGTGTGACCTCCGCATTTGCTTGTTTTGATAAACATGGGTTTTCTCTACAAGTCAACTAGTAGAATGAATCCTGTAGTTTCAAGCAAGGTAAAATGTATTAATGTATACTTTGACAAATAAAAAATTGCGGATTTCAGTTATTATCAAAAGTCAGCATTTTTTATGGGGCAAATATCCTTATAAATACTAAGAGAAGTTAATTATATCACCCGATAACCATACAACGTGTTTTTCTCGACTTATTTATAGATCAAACATTGTACACGAAAATAGGTGACGCATTCTGCCGCCGTTGGTTACTCATGTAATATGGTCCAAAGTGAAGGATTCATAAAGAAAATCGAAATAAACCAATTTTAATTATTTTGTAGAATATCTTGGGAAACATCTAAGACATGAAAAAGTTCGGTGTTTAATCCTTATATCCACGAAAATAGGTTACACCACTGTATAATTTTGTAAGTTCTGTTTTAATATTTCTATATCGCTCTACAATTGATGAATGGAGCATTGAAAATAATTTTTTGTATTGTATTCCTAATCATATCATTATGTTCTTATTGCATATAATTAAGAGTTTTAACCAATCATAAATGTCCGTGTAATACGCACCCCCTAAAAACTCGATTTGGAACAATATAAAAGTGGGAATTATGATGACTAATATGTAAACCTCAGTTAGGTAAATAATTATCTATTAATACTGACTTTACATAGCAACCACTTTACTTATTTTGAATATAAAAGGGCATCCGTTAAAAGTGCGAGACGTCTCGCCCTGATGATAATGAGAGGGTGACGTACCACACAGCCCTAAATGTTTTGTAAACAGGTAAACAAGAAATAAACAAGTGAGGCTGAAACGTCTCAAAGACACTAATGTCTGGAAACCATACATAAATATTGTTTTCTAATAAAATTGCAATAATAAAACCTTGCGACACACTCAAAATATTAGATGAAAACTGGTACAATCGTTTGATTATCTGTAATAATTTCAGCAAGCCTTCAAATTAGCTACAAACCTGGTTGGATGATTGTTAGGATTACGCGACTAACTAAGACAGATAAAAACGCCATCTGATGATTAACCTCAGAATTATACCGCGAGGGGCGTACTCCCCCATGCATATTCCACCTATGCTATGTACACTCTGAATAAACAAAAAAAGACTTTTTGACCTTTATTGATCGGTCACTCATTGGAATTCTGCTGGTAATTCTCTTCTAATTAAGTGCATGTGAGACAAACTGGTATTTTTCCAAGTCAATTATAGAACACCTCTTTTTTCTAAGTACATGTATTAACATTTTCTTTTTTATAAATGGAAATAAGGGAACCTATCTTTAAGGGTTGAATTATATGCCCACTATGGTCGTATATTACCTATGTCATTGTCCATCAGTCTGCCTGTCAACCATTCTTATAAGCACGATAAAATCTCAATTTTACGTGCTATTTCGATGAAACTTGGTATGGCATGCAAAATGGTGATATCTTGAAGTGATCCGAGCTTCACGATGTTTTGATAGACGCTACAGTTTTATCTGATGAATGGCTTTAGAGTTACTGCACTTGACTTATAAAATCATCTTGTTAGTCGATAGAAGCTGGAGTATATCTGCTGTGGTATGGTAAGATCTCAGATAGATTCGATTTTTTTGATGAATGAGTTGAGTTATCGAATCAAAATCTGCTTCTTTATGCGATAGAAGCTACAAATTAAGATAGAGTTTTCGTCCGATTCGGATGAAACTGGTAATGCTTAATATGTAGATAGATGAGATATCGGAAAAATTAACAATATTTCGATGTAGGGCTTGTTAGTTTTTGCCCTTCACAAGTTTTGTTGAAAGGAACTAGTTGAAGTGGGCAACGTTTCGTCAGCTTTTCAAAATAGAAATGTAATCATCAATATTCACACCTACAGATATTTGAAAAAAATTATCTTCCAGGTATATAGATAACAACTTTATTTGTTACATCATTACAATTTAACAATAAACAACAATAAGTAAATTGAATAAAATTTAAACCATTTTTAGATTCCTAGATGAAAATTTACAAAAAGTTTAATACCATTATAATACCTGACATTGTAATAATTGTTGTGTACAACACCATTTAACGTAATTTTGCAATAATTAATCGAAGGTAAGCCCATATTAATATACCCACCAAAAGATCGTTTCACAGCTGTATATCGTTGTCTAAGGGGTAAATAAAAGATGTCTTAGTATTCGCTTAGCCAGCCGATTCAATTCAACATACCCGCGTAATAATAATATTTCAATTTCGATATTGAGTTGTCTGCAATCACAAAACAAAGTAACTAATGGAAATGACGACAGTAAGTTGTTTCGTCCTCTAAACCGCAATTACCCTTCATTACGTAGTCCGAAAGTACAAGCGAACATTATTGTGATTCATGTAGCTTGAACAGTTGATTGTTAGATGGCCAAACAGTGGCAGAATGCAAAATTTCATTATAAAATATTTGTAAATAGGTTGAGAATATTTAGAGTATGTTTTTTACATGTATACGTAAACCCTTTAAATAGTTTTGGCGTTCTACAGAATAAACACAAAGATATTTATTCTATTAAACTTTCAGATAAGGCAAGGGGCGCATTTCTTTACATTTTGGTTATAGTTTTGAGAACTTCATTAACCTACTTAAACTGTCATACATCGGTTGCAATCTTTTCAAAATTTTTTGATTTTTCTTTGAGTTTATCGAACATTTCTTGGTCCTGTTTAGAGAGATTTACAACAGGGTTGCGTGAGTATATCATAATTGCACATGTAACTACAAAAATGGCAGCAAATGTGTAAAAGTCAACAGGAATACCAAATATAATCCATGCTAATATGGCTGTAAACATCAGTTCCGTGGCACTTGCAAAACTCTTCAATATATTGTTTAAATACCTGAGAAAGAAGCTAATACAGATTCCTATACAAGTACCATTAGCTATAATACCTAAAACTGTAGGTTGGCAAACGGATTTTAAATTGACCAGAGTAAACGCTGTAAACAATTCTCCACGATATAGCAACACAACACAATTAGAAACTATAGAATCAAAATACATGAAAATGTTCTGTATCATGAAATGAGCATCGCAACCTTTGATCAAATATTCGTTATAAACACTGGCAAATACTGATGTGAATACTTGAATAAGAATCAATATAAAATGATAGTCAAACAATCGAAAATTTGTCATTAACTCGGGATTTAGACTCGATTTATAACTATGGCGTACTTCCTTTAAAATACAACCAAACGTTAATAAAATTAACGAAAACCATTGCAGTTTGCTTAATTTCTTGCTGAACAAAATCTGAAACAAAAACAAAAAATTCTCAATACAACAGATATTGGTATAAATATCATCAAACGGATATAAAAGTTCCTTTTATTTTTGAAGGCTGAAACTGACACGCACGTACCGGTATTCAAAAGTATCCACCACAATCTAATTAAAACTGGAATAAATTTTTGTCCTGATATTTTCGCGTCATTATAAGAATCTAACAAGTTTTCTGGCGCACTCTCACTCTGAAGACGTTAGCTTTTTACCAGTCGATATTGGATTACATCTACCACAGCCATACCCAGCGTTCAAATATGGACACCAGTGAATATTTGTATTAAACTCAACACTTACTTGAAAGACTATTCCAGTCAAAACAGTTTTAAACTGTAACAGTAAGAAATACGTTGTCGGATCATAATAACTTAAGTTTATGAAGGATAAGTTATTATACACACTATACAACACTGCGGGCACAAAATACAGAAGTAAAGCTGAAAAAAAAATGTTGTTAATTTTAGATATCTGAAAATTTCCAAATCGTTGTTAAAATACAAAGTAGGTAACAAATGTGGTAACCAAAGACTCACTGTGTTGCTTTTGGGAGTTTAAAGTCTAGAAAATGAGTTTTTCAACAAGAACAAAAACATGAAACATTTAGAAAGCATTTTAATTCACGCCCGCATTGGAAAACGTCAGCAATGTCGATAAAATAATAAAATCAAGCATATACCCTGACCGTTGTTCTTCAGTTCATTTAAAAACTCCCTACTCCCGTTACTGAAAGCAAAACATGTCAAATCATTATTTTGTATTCTTCACCTTCGTTATAATATTCTTCTAAGAAGCTAATTAAAGGACTACAGAACATCCTATGATTCTTTCTAGTTCCAATAAATATGGCATCCAGCAAAGTGAACGGATGCAAAGGCGATTATGATGGCTGATCATACGTTGATAAACGATTCAAAAGGAAGTTGGTACCAACAGGAAGCAAAAAAAAAAAACCTTCATTGTCTTAATGCGGATCAACCAATCCAACCTACATTCAACTGACCGAAACTTATGAAGATGTAAGAATAATCATATCGAAATATGGAATATAACTATGTCACTTCTTGTGAAAAGAAATTGATGTCTTACTTTTTTAAATACATGAGAACAAACGCAAAACATTTGAAGAACTCGGTAAGTATGATGACTGTCGTTGTATTGTAACTATAGTTATTCTTTTCATCTTTAGATGCCGTTACCAAAATACCTATAATAGATAACACAAAACAAATTAACCTTATAAAATAGAGAAATGTGTTACATTAACCATGATTTCAGTATGCTTTCGCGTTTACTGTGTACGTCATTGGACCGTTTTTCGGGTGAATTGGTCGATTGCACGGAAACATTGCCTTTCAAAGGGGATTCATGTTTGTGTTTATCTAGTTTTCTTGGCCAAGATATGAGCAACAAATAAGATGTATTGTCCATCATACAGTAATATGAGACAAATTTATGTTAGACGATTAAGGACGTCATTTGGACACACAATATCGTATAACTATACAGCTTAAAGGGCATTATGATTTGTTTCTAATTTTTTTTTCAAATTTATGAAAACTATACGCCAGAATCAAGAAAATGTGTCCCTTAAATTATCAGAAAGTTTTAGCTTAAAATCCTGGCGTTAATTATAATAATAAAATTTTTACGTAAACTTTTTGAATTTGTTATGCTTTTTTTGTAGGTGTTAGAAAATAACTAAATGAAGTTGAGCAAAATAAATGTCTAATTGTTATTGAAATCTTCGCATTCGAAAGGTTTAAAAGTTTTTATGAGGTCCAAACACCAAAACTAGTTTAAGCTGCTTACTTAACAATTAGTACAATCCCTCTTTAATTAACTCTTTTAAAACAAATTCTGCTTGATCAAGAAGATACATAGATGTAAATAGAAACAATTTTAGAAATATTATCAGTTACGATGTTTTTTAATAATGAAAATTTTGCATACTGTCCCTTTAATCGGACGAATGTTGAATAAGATAACATCATATTAGATTTCTTAATGAATAATCTTTTATGATAGTAAGTAATACTAAGTGGGTTAATGTATAACTCTGGACGTTTGGAAACTCGAACACGCCAACATCGGTCTGACCAGGTTTCAATAATCGCTTATTTTATCTTCGAAGACTCAGAGACTGTTCGTGTCATCGGATTTACATAGATAAATTATTAAGATGAATAACGTCTCACAATAAGTCATAGATGGTTGACAGGTGTTCAATTCATTGCGCCAATGCAGTTGCATGATTATTCCTCTTTTACCAATAATAATAAGTAACTCGTCGGGAATGTGGAATTGTTGTACGTCGTAGGTCATCACTTTGCTTTTATTTAAATCCCCATTTAAGTCCACATCCCTTCAATAAACTTTTGTCAACTGTTTCTGTTGATTTTAGGATAAAGAATTTTCTTGTTGGGCGCTAAACTATCTTACTTACAACCCTTTCGGTTAACTCCGTGGAAAATACCAAATTTCCATTTTGATCACAGAAAACCATTTAAAGTTGTGCCTATCTATTCTGCTTGCTGGATTTGGTGAAATTTAAAAAATAACTAAGCCTTATCTTGAAATCGTCCAAATTTCTCAATACGTATATTATGTAGGCCCTACTTTGAGTGAATAAAGGAAATGTTTTTCAAGCTCTCATTTCCTTTCCTTGATAGTTGTTTAATGCAGAATACTACACGATTAGATTGTACTTGTAGACATTATAACAACAATTAATTTAAGTATTGTCCATTCTAAAACCCTCGATCATTACAGCCTACTGTTCATGTTAATACAAGGATTAAAATCCCCATGGAGGTGACCATATTTCCTACCTAAAACCTGTTCGTGAGAATAAGCCATTTATGGTATATTAAGTCGATTAATGTAAAGGTGCTGCTTGTTTACTAATCAAGCGTATATGTTTTAATGTATTAGTGTTATTAATTTTCAATGAGTACTGTTAAAACTCTTCATTAAACATTCTAGCATCTGATATAATTGATGGGCGTGTTTGTCATTTTCAAACGGGAACGGATGAGAGTGCATTATTTACAAAAAATAATATTAAGCGCCAGGTGTTAATCTTTAGAAAAGTGCTATATGTATGACTAAACGATTTCCCATATCAGTTCTTCCGAACTGCATCACTGACACGGGCTTTACCTGGTTTTAAGTGCTAAGGTATCATTTCAATTTATGCTAGTGTCATATCTCATACCTCTAGTGTCTAACTCTGAACCACGCACAGCGTTTCTTTAGAATATAAAGATCTACAATATTACAATATTTAATTCCCAACTGTGTTTCCGTACTCAGTATAAGACAAAAGTTGATTATCAAATAAAATGTATTATGGCTTACCTTGATTAACAAATAAAGCAATATAGCTCACAAAAACAATAAAACTTAAAGTATTTGGAAATAAATCTTGTGAGATAAAGGCCATTATTATCCACTCATCGGCATTTTCATTATTTGATTTTCTTCCTTGTCTTCTGATGGCTTGATTTTTATACCCATCTAATGGCTTTGTTGTCAACATACACAAACAAAGGTTCACGTGAGTAGATGGACTATAAATAGTCCACGTATACGCTGTATTTATTGTCATATACCAACCAACCATGTATTTATTACGAGCACTGATTCTTAACATGACACAGCATGCAATGTCAAAGACAATACAAGGTACACACTTGTTAGTCAGTCGTTTTATTTGATTAGTTTTATTCAAGAATTTCGAAGAAAATAAAATATGCATCATAATTGTTTATGTCATGTGATAAACAAGATGTTGATTTTTTATTTTTTATCTCGTGGCATCAATTGAATGTATAAGAATCAATTATTTGTAAACGACGAGAAATCAGTCATTCAGAAACATGTAGATTTTTTGTCAACAGCAGACCATCTCTTTGAATGGGCTGGATCGTCAATAGTGGATTTGTCAATACAGAAAAGAAACAATTTAAACAATACATTAAAGATTTTTCCTGCACGACACAAAGTTACACATCATTCACCTTAAGATGACCCTTTGATTGATTTTCTAGTCTAGTATTTTCTATTAGTTTTTTTGCATTGTTTCCTTTCGTACATTGAGATGGTCAGTCGCCATATGTTGGCCTGCCTGCCACTTTATCAATATTAGTCTTTATTGTATATTGCGATAAGGATTTTTATCTCGGTTCAAAATCTATGAATGTTGACCGCTTTGAGATAACGAAATGGACATTATAATTTACAGACCCATATATATCGGGTGGCCCAGAAGATTCGATAACATTTGTCATTTCAGGATTATTGAAGATATTGACAAATTTAAGATTATAATAAACTCTGACAAAAAAGATTATCTACTCGTGTTATTCAATTTTATTGACGATTATTTATCCATAGCACACAACAGTGCTGTTCTCGGGTTCATAACACAGGTTCATAAAAACGATATAAACTCGTAGCACATGTTAATAAGTATGCAAATTATGGTTATGTATTAATGCACCATGTAAACAACATGGCATTCTATGAAGTTAAAATTGAAGGTTAAGGACATGTCATTGTTCCAAACAACATAACTTAGACTAAAAGTTTCTAATTAGTTATCACATATCATAAGGGAGAAATTTGTTGTCGGATTAAATTCTATCACATTAATTTCATGTTTCACTCATAAAAGATGCTCTATATTTCAAATGGTAATGATTTAAAATATTTGAAAAAGTAGATTGTACCGAGCAGATGTAAAACTTCTATTTTCACCATTTGGATTTCCCATCGACAATTGTGGTTCCTGTAATTCGATGACCCGTCTTTATTAGCCCATAAGGTGCAGAAAAATAGGAAGTAAAACTCCATTTCATTTTAATTCTATGACGTCATGACATCCCCATTCAAGCCACATGCCTTTTGTTTACGACCACCATGCATTGAATAGTGCACATCAAAACAGAAAATCTCGAGCGAATCCCTTTACGAATGTACATAAGGAAGAATTGCTGAATATTGACGTATTATCATTCAAGAGTTTCCTCCTTCCGAGAGTACTCTCAAGTACACCCCCTTTTGATAAAACTAAAATTCTTCGCCCATTCTTGCTCAAGAGCCTGAGGCAGTTCAGATGCGTTTCTCTAAAGCATTTAAGAACTCAATGGTTTGAAATTGGAAACTAAGAGGGAGGCCAAACGCTGGGCCAGCAAAATTTCTGGGGGGATGGCCTTCGCCCCCGTAGAAACACCACTGCTAGCAGAGATTACGGCCTTGCACACGTCATACCGAGTTATCCCACAAGTGTGCCTTCATTACTCCCTTACACCTTCCTGCTACAGCGCTATACATGCAGACACGAATAGGTCACCCATGATCAACAGCCACTTTGAAGTTTAAATTAAAAAATCAATTAAATTTTAACATGATCACGTTTACAGGTCTCAATTACGCAAATTCATACTTAAAAAAATAATGTTTGATGTTTCCTTTTAGGACCAAAACAGTTTCAGAATCCGGAGTGGTTAGTTGAACATGCAAATTGAATACTGAAATATTCGACATAGTAATTTAAACATTTGACTAGATATCAGGAAACATGGCAGAGTATCTCCGATGTCCGAATTAATAACTCCAAGATTTAAATTAGTAACTCTAAATTAAATACTCACCTATACCTTTCCCTAGCGTCATATGCCCTTTTGAAAAAATCACAGTTATGCATAAAAAGTCTTTCACGACAATGTTTCGAGATATTAATTGAATTTTCAATAGAGTAAGTCAGAGTGGTAATGGTAATAACTTTTAATAAGTAGAAGGGAAACAACTCTTACTTAGCCTGGTGAAACCAGGTTACAAAGTTAAATAATTCGTTTATATTTAATTGGCTTCTTTCCCTTAATTAAAAAAAGAAAAATACACCAGAAAATACCAAAACGGAGACTAAAACAAAATAGACTGTGGGATAAAAGAATAAGTAACAAATTGAACATAAATTAACAATAAACAAATACAAGTTTCACCGGTATTAATAAACTTTGATTTATATGTAAGAAGATTATCAAAGTAATGACGGGCAGGGTCGCAAAATATTTAGGTTGTTATGAACGTAGGTACGCATATAGTTTTACTTAAAAACATCTGGAATTATCTTGAATTTAAAAGATTACACGCAATATATGGTAATTCAGTTTCATATACATATGAAGGTTCATTAACATCAAAAATGTGTGTAGTTGCCTCTATCTTATATAGGCTACACAGAAAGCAACATGCATATTTCGCACAAGTGTTATCAAGAGATTTCTGCTGGCATTGGAAGATTAAATTTGTAAATACACACCGTTCACTCGCAGACAGACAGCTAGTAATTCATTGTTAATCTTTAAAAAAAAACATCATAAGCAGATAACAGAACTCGGTTTCTTTCATGTTTCATCATTGTTAAAGGAAATAGAGGAGTTGAGGGGTCCAGTGCGACGTTGAAACTGTATGGAAGGATCGAATACTATATTACACGGCATCGTCTGCATTGAATTCGCTTCTTCTATTTTTTTGTATGGGTTATTGCGCGAAGGACAACACATGTCGTCGATTCTGACTTTAAAATCTAGTGCATACCTTGATATTATCATGCCTTTACATTACATTACTTATAATAATTCATCACAATGTCTATGATAGCAATTTTGTTCATCCTAGGTCATCTATAATAATCCAAGAATAATCCTTCAATGGCATATTAGAAGCACAAGTTATTGATAAATAAGACATTTATATGGATATATACTTCTGGAATATTTATTACTTCAACGTTTCAATGTAGTACTCATATTCCTGATGACGGTGTGAGAACCACATTGAAACGTTTTAGTAATAAATATTCCAGAAGTATATATCCATATAATTGTCTTATTAATCCATGAATAGGAATCAAATTCGAGATATTCGAGCAATCGTTGATTTTTACACAGATGTTAAATCGTGTTCCTCATGAGGAAATATGACATACGACATCATAGTGACTGATTAGACTAATGACGATAAGTATCATAATTTCATTTTGTCACATGAATGGCCAGATATGATTTCACCAATTCCACAAAATTCATACTGTATCTGTCTGATTTAGAGTTGATTATAATCCTTTATTTATATTATTAATCGAGATTTTTGGATTCTGTTTTTAATATTATGTCTAGAGCTGGAAATTATATATTTCAATTAATATATTATCCGGGTATCATCCGGGTAATCCAGGTTTACTACAGTCACAAGCATGTCCACCAAGTTGTATAGAACATAACACATCACAGACATTTGATGTTGTGTGAGGCTTGATTGTCGTGTGACTTCGATCAGATTGATGCAGCAGTTCTGAAACAAAATTGAGATATTAATGACTGTAAAAACAACCTGCAAATTCATTGATTTTACCCATCACATGAGAAAATGCGAACATAACATATACTGGGTTTTTCAAATACATGTACTGTGCAACCAAGGTGACTCTTAATTAAGTTTTAAACAGATTCCCCTTTGTTCCAATTCTGACCTCGATACTGAACGATACAGAACCAGATTATGTCAGATTCAACATTTTCCCCTCTATTCCTTTCTCCACGAGATGGTTTCTAAGACGTTCGAACGTCGCTTGATACGCACGGTGAGTATATGCACTGCCTGGGTTATAATAATCTTGTGATATATGTTTTATAAGAAGAAAATTTATTTAAAACCGATATAGTCGAAATGCTAAGTAGTCAAAGTCATCTGCGTAAATTATACTCAATCAAAAACATCTACCTTCACATATAGGTCTACATTTTTCATACCAAAATTCAAATTCTTCCAATCCTGTTTCACAAATTCCTCTGCATTCACGATGAAAATTAAAGCCGCATGATACATAAAACACTGCTAAACATAGTGAAAGGAAAAATATTTGCTTCATTTTCGATGTTTTTTATAAATTGTGTCGTTAATCTTCTTTCAATGCTTACTATCTATACAGAGACACGTGAATTTTCCAGGTTCATGATTTTCATTTCTACACTCGTTTATTTACTTCGACACCCATTGGTTACAAAAGAATAAATCACAGTATATTATCCAACAAATACACACAGCTATAGCATGAAGAAAATACTACCCACACAATAATGTGCCTTTAATCAGGAAATATATAAAATTCTAGACATGGATGACATGTTTTGAGACGAGATGTTAAAATAATCATCTGGAAAGAGTGCAATAATAGTTAATTGAATTAAAAATTTATGTTACCTGGTTATTTCTAACAGGAACGTGGTTATTCCTATCTACCAGAAATCTGGTTAGATCTATATCAAACAGGAACTTGGTTATTTCTATCAAACAAGAACGTGGTTATTCCTATTCTACCAGAAATCTGGTTAGATCTATCAAACAGGAACGTGGTTATTTCTGTCAAACAGGAACGTGGTTATTTCTGTCAAACATGAACGTGGTTATTCCTCTCCTAGGTTGAATCTATTTTTTCCTGTCAAAAAGGAACCCTATCTTTCGAGAACTTTGTCAGATTGAAATTGCATGAGCCTGTATAGATATTGCTTTCAAATATGAACCTAATTATTCTATCTACCAGAAACCAGGCTATTCCTTTCTGGAATTGTACATCCAAGTAGGACCCGAATTATTCCGTGATAGCTTGAACCTGTTTTTTTTTATCTAACAAAGACATTTAAAGAAACCCAGTAAGTACAAGTCAGGTGGATTGTCATGTTGCAATTGTGCACTAAAAATACCGCATTTACATTTTACATCGTATTGATGATAAGATCTTAAGTCCTATTACAAGTAATCATGTCGACTCAGTAATGATTATTTACAAAAGTAATCCATTCCGTTGTTGTTGATTTATTTAGACATTCCTTTCCTTTCGTTTTTGCGTGCCGTCTGAAATTGTCATTTAGGGAATATGGAGAGATGAAGATATATAAGGTATATAAATCAATCGTTCTTAAATCGTTTCCTAAATTAAAGCATTTTCGACCAGTTACTAAGTTTTGGCCAGGCTTTCAGGCGACTTAACAATATTCAACGAGATTTTTAAAAAGGGCCAAAGAATGTTGATTTTATTGGTTTAAGATAGAAGGAGGTCCTTTTATAATTATGTCACTGGACTAATTGCCAATGATTTGTCAAATTATTGTAACATGGAGACCTAAATTTAGTTCTTAACTTTTTCTGTTTTTATGGGATATTGTATGCATTTCGGGATAGCGTATTAATTTTAAGTATTATTATTGTGACAGGAAAGGAAATATTAAATTAGTCACTCATAATAATGAGCTGGTTTCAATTCACGCTATTACCTCAAAATTTATTTCACAAATCAGTATCGTGTGTTATTTGGATACGAAGTTTCATTTTTAAAAGGACGTTTATATGAGAGATTGCAAACAGTATGGAATTCAGATACAATATAATAATATTGTTTATGTTTACAGTTTTGTTTTTCGTAATTAGATCTCAAGGACCAACAGCCTGTGTTTATGAGGACAAGTACGGATCTAGGCGGCCTATTTGCTTGTGTTTTACAGGAGTTGTAAATTGTTCGGGTCAAAATTTAACTTATATACCGAAAATACCGAATAACACACAGACCTTAGATTTAAGTGTAAACTCTATAAGACGTTTGGATATCAACAGCTTTGAAGAAATATCAATAGGATCACCTAACTTGGTAAAGTTATACGTCTTTAAAAATCGTATATCCAGTGTTGATCGTAAATGTTTGCATAAATTAAAAGCTTTGACTACTTTGGATGCAAGTTTCAACAATGCTAGAAATCCAACACTTATCGCTAACTTAACTGACGGCATTGCAACAACTTTAGAAAATCTTCTTTTAGAGTCAATGGATTTAACAACGATATTACCAAATGTGTCCAAGAACCTCGAACAATCAAACCTTAACAAGCTTTCATTTAAAAACAACAGCATACAACAAGTGGACTTTCATATTTTCAATTTAAAGAGATTAAAGCGGCTGGACCTATCGTATAATTCACTAAGGAGCATAAACATTTCCCTGTCTACAAGTTTAAATAGTTTAAGTTTGTCATCGAACCATTTAACTGGACTTCCGGTCTGTTGTGACAGAAGACCTGGGTTGCCGTCTTTAGAAGCCATTTACTTAGATAACAATTGTATTCGTAAATTAGACATGAAACGTATCAATTGTTTAAGTAACTTGAAGATGCTAAACATTTCAAATACGCAAATTGAACGCATACCAACGAAAGCCTTTTATTATCTTCGGTCATTACAAGCTGTGACGATTGAAAAAACTGAAAGCCTTACTCAAGTTGAACGTAACGCTTTTGAAAGTCAATCGCTAATAAACATCTATATCAGCAAAAATCACATGTTGTTCGATTATCAATATATAGACAACGCCACTATGTTCCAGAATGTTCCTGCTTTGACCCGTTTGGATTTGTCATACAATGAAATGAAGCATATGGAACAAATCCATTGGTCAAATATGTTGTGTAATGCCACTGGGATAACATATCTAGATGTTAGTAAAACTGGATTATATTATGCTCCCTTTGCATTTACGGAATGTTTATTGAACCTAACGTTTCTATCAATGGCTGGAAATTGGATAAGATATCTCCCCCCGCAATATTTCGTTCCACTAAAATCATTAACTCATTTAGACTTAAATGAAAACAAATTGGCAGTATTTTCAGCTTTAGATTTTCCACCTACCTTTGTTCATCACCTTTCCTTACTTGATTTGAGGTTTAACCCGTTTATATGTGACTGTAAAATAATCTTCTTCTTAAAATTTGCCAAAATGTATAAGAAGATCATGGTTGGCTACCCAAAGAATTTTGAATGTTATAATGGGACAGTCATTACAAAAGTTGCAAATGTATTTACACAAAAGTCCTGTTTGCTGCAAACCGAAGTTTCAGAGATAATCAATTGTACGAGCTTTTCAGTCATTTTAATGGTGGTACTTACATCAGCTATTTATCGCTATCGATGGAAGCTACGATATATACTCTTTGTGCTCAAATTCCAACGACGTAAGTGTACGAATACCAACAATGTATCTCATGTTCACGATGTGTACGTAAGTTCCGCGGATGAAGATTTTGATATCGTGTATCGCCAGTTAGTAAGTGAATTAGAAAATAAGGGACTTAATGTTTTCTTCCCTTACCGAGACGCTAGACCTGGAACAATCGCTATAAGGGAATCCTTGGAACATCTTGATAGCAGTAAATATGTTCTGTTGTGTGTATCTAATGCCTATGCTCAAGACAACTGGTGTGAATTTGAAGCTTGCATGGCGTTAGAGAGATCAATATACGAACAGGGCGAAGATGATATTATTGTTGCTATTATTCTGGAGGAAATTGACAGTAATAATGTTACTAAGATCATTGACAAGATAACTCGAACTGGTGACTATTTGAAATGGGATGCAAATCTGGACACTATAAATTTATTCTGGAGGAAACTTGAGCAAAGATTACACTATCAATGTCATGAAAGGCCTCGATTTATTCCAAATTCCCAAATGTTTTCTATAAATCAATCTGATGAACATTAATAACGCAGAGACACAACATAATAAACAGTTTAAATGTTTGTACTTAAAATTCAAGTGGGCACTGAAAACACGGAAACAAAATGAATGAGGTAACAGTTTGTATGGATGTCACAGAAAATGGTTACTAAAAGGACGTTGTGGTATCAATAATTCAGACGATATATGCAATAGCAAAATGTCAGATACGGGGTTACAGCAATGAATCTGATGAACGTTTATGTGAGTGTTTATGGTTTAATGAACACAAATGTATTTCCGTGACATCATTTTGAATATAAAACAGGTAGTTGCACAATACAGCTTTTGAATAATTAATATAACACTCAATACTGGTTCCCAACCTTAGGTTCACCTAAGGATACAGGGGATACCTGAGATTCACCAAATTAAATGGATCAACAGTAGAAAGCCCCATGTTTTTTTTGCGCACAATTGTAGACTTTTGGTTGAAGTATTTTCTTCGTTCATTGTACATGCTCTGTTCATTAGGATTTAAACGGTTGGGAACCAAAATTAATGATATTGAATGTATTACATTATATTTGAACATTCGGTATTGCTTTATCTTATGTCATAAAATCATCTTAAAGGGATTGTAAAGAGGTTTTCTAAATTCGTTCATGTGTTTTCGGGGACACTGATAGCATTAATTTACACCATTCCATTTTCCAATCTTTTATGCAGGAACAACAGACGCCTGATTGAAAAATGACATTGTGCCCCCAATATACATAATATTAACAAAAGAAATATAATCCCTTTAATACAAGGCCTAATATTTTCTAACTATTTTAATCGAAATTTTCTCTTCACTCTGTTAATGTTAGTTACATCACATGTACATGATAATAATTGAGCTTAAATATACACTACATGCTTTTATGTTGTGCTTGAAAGTAAATTATGCTTTTCATAAATATAAATTTTAATGTTTTTTATAGGGATCTTTCACGTACGTCAGATTCTATTTGTAATCAAAATTGGAGAGAATTTGGGCTCGGTTAGAAACAATTCAACTGTATCAATGACGAAGCACATATTATTTAGTTAGTGATAAAAACTTGTTCTAATTCAAGACAACAGCAACACAAAAATCTGAGAGGGCGTTTCACGTCTTTTTATCTGGGCACATAAACATGGTTGATAAGAAATATTTATACAGATTTATTTATAAAATTATGTAAATAAAAACAGGCTATTATTAGGAAATAAGTTGTGTTCTCGTCTTTTTATCTTGTTTATTCGAGATATAATGACAATCTGAAGAAATTAGATTTTTTTGTAATTGTCACTGAATCCAGATTCAACAATGTATAGTTCAGTTTTCAAATTTATTCCAATTGATATGCTATGCAATTCTGAGCTGCGACTGTAGGATTGATAATGTAATATTTGTAGACATCTAAGTAATTAACGCACCAAATTAAAGAAAGAATGCTGTGTAATTTACAATATCCTCCAGCAAGTTCACTGGCGAATTAACCGTTTCAACACTGATATTTAGTATTTCTATTTAGTATTTATTGCTAAGTAGTCTGGAATGGAAGAAGTTTTCTACATTGAACTGAAACATCAGGACTCTAACCACTAAAACATTTTATACAAATGATAGTATGTGTTATTTATAGAAATCCTCTTTCTCCCTTCATTTTGGGGTTTTTGTATGCCTATTTTTGACTAAATTTTGGTCTAAATTTGGAAATTGCATTTTCTTAAAGATTTTGTGAATGATGAGAAACGGATCAAGTGGATGTTGATAAAATGTAGTGGTCTACTTTCAGTTATGATATATTGAATTTTTGTCCAGAAAAACAAGCATTGGTCAGTTTTTCATGTGACATATAGGAAAGTTTTCAACAAAATGTCTGGAAAAAGTTATTAGAAGGTTGAATTTCGTGATTTAACATGGATACAAATGGTAGATGAATTACTGGTCTGAGTCCAGCAAACGATTATATCATTATCTCCCTTCAATTGTTCGTTATAAGCCTCAAAAAAACTAAAATATTATAAGATTCCTCAGATATCTTTTTCTCATTCTACCTGATTGAATTTTGTTTATCTTTTTAACACAAACGTTTGCAATGTTTTATTTTAGTCTTGCAAATTGAATGGGGACACGGACCTACACTACGAACAAATACTTGCTTAAATGACATGAGAAAAAAACAAAGGTTCAGACGAAAACACTCCTAAATGGAACATTCCATCCTAAATTATAAGGAAAAAAAATATAAATTCACTTTGTGAAAATGGGTTGACAACAACAAAACATTTCACTTTTAAACAAGTATTCAAAAAAGCAATGTAGACCAATAAGGAAATAATGTTATTACTCAGCACGCTATGAGATCATCAGATAACTGACCTATTTCAGTCTATTTATCTTCATAACAAACTATTCTCAATAATAATCAGCGTGAATACGGGTTTATGATTTTTAAATGAGTATCTAATATGAAATAAGGAAGAATTTAAAGGAACAGATTCGCTATCCGTTTGACTAATCGTACTTTAGTTTCAGAAACGGGACTTTTTTTTAGCTAAGCTAATCAGTAATAGTGTTCATACCTCTGTTGAAATTTGAGCCTTCAAATCCATGTGTACAAAATAATCCGCGTTCGAAAGTTAAAAAGGAGTCTTCTTTTTAACATTCTTTATCATATATAAAACAGACATATATAGAAATAGAAAGTGAAATTCCTAGTTTGAGATTATATTTGAAGGAATTTTTCGAATATGTACATTTCTTTGTGATATCCGACATCTGAGTAGTCCGACATTCTGCGTAATCCGACATCATTTTCTGGTCCCGATTGATTTCCTTCGTAGGCTAGTTTAAACTTTGAGTACCCCGACATTCTGTGTATTCCAAATTACGACAGTAATCAGTGGTCCCGACACTATTAAAATCTGTATAATCCGACATCTCGTCACCTTGACCACTTACTGTCAATTATATATTCAGGACCTAAATCAACCCCCGAAGATGGCGCATCTGTCCCTTTAAATGAGTTTCGAATGTTAATTTCTCATACGTGTATACAGTTTTAAAAGTAATAAATTCAAACACGACAGTAATCATTCATATTTTAAATTCATTAATGAAACAGTATTATAGTTGTCACGATCGACTCCAATACTTTATTCAACCTTTAACCTATCTCTATATTTTACATGGAAACCACGTCTTTATAATATATTATTTGATCAGACCCAATTCAGCTAAATGTCACCGATCCCTACATTCAATGAGAATTTGATTATTTTTGATGAATGTAACTGTATGACTATTCATCACAATAACTTTGTTGACTAATGCCCAAAAATCGATCAATTCTGGCCTCGAAATTTCAACCAAAATCAAATTGATGAAAATGATAGAACCCTCTCAGACATTTCAGTTTAAAGGGAAAGCAATCGAGTTTTCTGTACTATAACCTGTGTACTTTCCACTTTTGAGAACATGGAGTTTTCTACAGTTTTACTGGACATTGCAATAAGAATGTCAAATTTCATTTTATTCAGAATTGATGACATCTTTCTGTAAAAAAGGGAAACATTGTTATATTACACTGATTCTTTAGACCAGTTCCTGTGAAACATTTTGGCAATATCCAAATACCTATATACATGCTTTACTGGCTTTATAAGGCAATATTACTTTTTCAGTGCTAGAGCCGATATTCTCAGATAACTTAGAGAGAAAAGAATAATGTGTATTTCAAATCATTTAAATTAAACCTAAAGTACAGCAAAATATGTTAGTAGTAATAAATTTCTAACGGTGAAAGCAACCGATTAATTTTTTATGTGCAATTTAAGAAGTATCGTTAAAAGAAAAGGCTGCACATGACAAGTTAAAATCATCTAGGGTATCGAGATGCAAGTGTGTCAACTAGAATGTCAAGTTGGTCATCTATTATTTAGTGTGTCTCTAACTTAAAATAGAATAATTTATGTCCTTACATGTCCCTTTAAGAAAAGCCAATAGAGATGGAAAATAATTGGAATAGAAATCTTTGTATGCAGTTAGGTTGTCTCTGAGCTCGAACAATGAAGTTAAAAACTGCGAATTTCAGTCTGAAAACTTGGAATTGAGATTTGTATTGACATGTTGGCTTTAGAAAAGTTAATAACTATGGAGTATTGTGGTTAACAAAAAGACCTATTGATGTTGAAAATAGAGTCTGACTCCTAGACTTGAACAATATATACATAAACATTAGACTCTACCCAAGCATGTAGTTATTCTGATCCAGTCGTGATCCACGAAAGAGTATATCATATCAAAATCTATAGTCTACTTAAACTGTAAAGAGATGTGAATATTTAGATAAATGGATCTATAAAAGCCTTTTATAACAAAATATAAAAGTTCAAATTTGAAAAGATTTTCTTTCTACTTCTAACTTCACAAGTTCTTGGAAGAAATTTTCGAAGTTTGTCAACTAAAAACATGACGACCTTGCAACCCACCGACAAAAACAATAAAGCATGATAGCATTGTATTATTCAAACTAGCAAGATGTGAGATATTTGCAAAGAATGTTGTCAAAATGGTGGACAGACCTGTGAAAGAAAATTACCTAAGGTTCAGAACCATTAAAGGTCACGTATAACGCGTCGGGAATTGTATTCTATTCGTTGTTTTACAGCGATCCGAAAATATTTTTAAGTCTAAATGCGGATATAATTGAAAGAGGAAAAAACGTTTCTCATTCTCAGGATCACGTTCACCATCCGTAACATAGTCTCAGAAACCAGAACTTTTTAGCTAAGCTTATCAGTAATTTTCATCTAAAGCTCACCGTAAAAGTTTTAGCCTTCAAATCCATGTGAATCTAGACTTATAGTAACTTATACCCGCGTTTGAAAGTTAAAATGACTTTTGTTGAGACTCTGCCATATATAGAAAAGACATATTATATGGAAAAAGAAAGTGAAATTTCTAGTTTGAAGTATATTTGAAGGGATAATGCGATTTTCGTGCGGTTCTA